GATTTAGAATTCAGGAGGGTGAACCGGTTATTCTCAAAATTTTCCCATGTAGATGTTATGTGAACTGATGATGAAGGGTACATAAGCGCATTTCCCATTAGGTCGCACTAGGAGTGTGATGTTTCCCCATAGTTGTTCCTCATGAATTTGTGTTTTCATATGTCTATGTCTAAGAAGGTAGGTGGAAATCATTTGTGTATCACCCTGGTGTAAATTATTGAAGGTGAATGTTAATGGATAGTTAGCTTATGCGAGGTATCTAGCTGTCATCCTTGTTAGATAAGTTTGGAGGTTGGGGTTGTTTCTGTGAATGTGTTATGGAAAAGCCTATAAGTATAAGAGGCCACATTGAAGGCCGAGAGTATTGTGGAAATAAGGTATTTTCTCTTGATTGTATAGCAGTTGGTTTTGATTTGAAAAGCACCTTCTAGGTGTTATGATTTTAAAATGTGCAGTCCATGTCCAGGTATCATCGTGATAATGTAGTGCTTGTAATGCTGAGGTTCATGTTATTGATATATACATTGTCGTGCTTTGTCAAGCTTTGGATGTGTTTTTAGGATGGTTTTGGTGGTTCTCTGGCAGGTGGATAGGCCTAGTTACAAAGGAGACTCTGCCGAAAATTCTGAAAAATTTAGGAGATAGTCAAAATTTAGGGACTTGAGATAGGTGAGAAAAGAGATATATTAAGTTAAGCTTTTAGGGCGGACTCTACTCCTCATTCGAGGACGAATGATCCTAAGGGGGGGGGATGCAAGGTCCCGTAAAATTTTGCTAAGTAATTTAGGATTTTGTGGTGCCACGTAGGCTAATTATAATATTTTATGTGCTATTAACATGGTGGGAATCAATTGGACTTGGTAAATAAGTGGACGAGTCTTATGGTAAGTAATTTGGCGCCCAAGGAAAGGCCTAAGCCTAAGTCAAATTGGAAAATTTCATAATAGGCTAAGATTCCAAATGAGTTTGCACAAGTTCACACTTTGAATGAGCATATCTAAATATGTATAAGGTTTTATGTGATGAACAATCTATCATACAAAAGGTCTTCGAGTCTAGTTTCCAATGCTTCAAACCGTTCGTCATTTGGACATTCCTACACAAAGTTATGATCAAATCACCAAAGGCTGGAAAAATGCGATCTTGTGTCGAATCTGCGATCGGAAATATGTCCCATTTTTTACTCTGCGATCGCAGATTGGGCCAGTGTTGCCCAGTTTTGGGCAACTATTTTCGCGATGCATTCTGCGGCCCACATTCTTGTTTTGCGGTCCATTCTGCGATCGCAGACCCGATTTCGGGTGCTTGTTTTTCCTATTTTTATAACCCGACCCCATTTTAATATATAGTCTTTGGGGCTTCATTTGGGGTCATTTTCTACTGATTTTAGAGAGAGTTGAGAGCATATAGACAGAGAAAGAGAGAGAGAAGGAGCCTTAGCTTCATAATCACCCATCTCTTGCTCAAGTCTTCAAGAATCAAAGAACCCAATCACATGTTCTTCATCTAAGAGATTGGGATTGCTAGAATTTCCGGAACGTCGTAGTAACTTAAGGAAAGCTTAAACAAGGTATGTATGGCTAAAAACCCCTCTTCTTAGAAATTGAGCTCCCATGGTGTCCATGTAAAATTGTAAGTCCGAAATTTGATTGACGTAGTATTTGTTATTTCAAAGGAATTGGTGTTGCAAGAATATATGTGAAAAGTGTGTCCCAAGATGTTCAATATGCTATTCTTGATAAATTGGTGATATGTGAAGAATGTGAACTATATGCTAAATTGCCTAGATTTCAAGTTAAGTTTAAATTGTGATTATTATGCCAAATCATGTGAATCTCTCTCTATGCTTACAACTTGAATTGCTCTTGTATGTGCCCATTATCTTAAATTGAAGGCTTGATGTTGAAAGTGAAAGAGATGTGGAATGTGAGTTGTGAAATGTGGCCTAGCGCCAAGTATAATGTGAAAATTGTGGCCCTAGGTGCCTATGAGTTGATAAATGTGAAACCAAAGATTGAAGTGAGATGATTAACGGAGAAATGGTAACGTCTTGGGGAGACGGCTTAGCCGATCGGGCCATGATTGGATGCTATGTTATACACACATGGTGGTAATGTATTGATAATTGGAACTGGAAAGTGAGAATGAAATAATGGTAACGTCTCGGGGAGACGGCTTAGCCGATCGGGCCGTGATCGGACTCCGCTCAAGAAAGCGGTGGTAGTGTGAACGATGATGCAACAATATGGAATGCCCCAAACTAAAGTTATGAAAATTGTGTGAAAGTTATGTGATCTCTTATTTGTATTTGATGATGTGGTGATTGTTTAAAAGCTTTGTTGATCCTTATGATTTCTTTATTCTTGTATGGTTGTTCTTTCTAATGAGATGCTGTTTAGTTATACATATTAGTGCTATTCGATGGCACTAACGTCCCTTTTGCCGAGGGCGCTACGTCTTTAAATAGATGTAGGTGTTTCTATAGCAGGCAGTGTTGGTCGCAGCTAGTGCCGCATCATCCTTCAGCTGACTTGGTGAGCCCCACTTCGTTTCGGGGTCCTGTTTCATCTGTTTATCATGTACTTTGTATTTGAGGTATAGCCGGAGCCTTGTTACCGGCATTTTCATATTACATTACTCTTCAGTTGTGTTTAGAGGCTCCGTAGATAGGTTGTGGGTAGTGTCGGGTATTGGAATTAAAGTAGAAATATTGATGTTTGGCAAAGATTTATAAAACTTGTAATATTTTGATAATTATGATTTAATCTGCTAATGGGAATGAAATGGAAGTTGTTAATGAAATACTTACTAAGTATGATTAATGGAGTCCATCTCCTATTTATTCATGAATTAGCTTGGGTAGAATGAAACCTAACAGGCTTGCTCAGTCGGGTTTACTCGGTTGAGTGCCGGTCGTGCTCCTCGATTTTTGGGGCGTGACACTAGCCTGCCTTAGGGTTTCTCCCGAGGGCGTGGTTAACACTATGCCGAGCCCAGACCCCTTCATATTGGAAGCTCCGTCCATGAACAAGGTCCAAACTCTCGATGTCGATTCCAACACCATCAGTACTTCTTTGGTAGCCAAAGGTAACAGACCTGGACTGAAATCAGCCACAAAGTCGGCCAAAACTTGCGACTTAATCGCAGTCCTAGGTTTATACTCCATATAAAATTCACTCATTTCGACAGCCCACTTGGCCAGCCTACCTAAAAGTTCAGGTTTATGAAGAATATTCCGCAGGGAAAAAGTGGTCACCACGGCTAGCGGATGACATTGGAAATAAGGCCTAAGCTTTCTGCTCCCGTTAAAATCTTACTAACGTAATAAATAGGAGATTATGTATCTTCGTCCTCACGGACTAAAACGGCACTTACTGCTACCTTCGAGACCGCTAAGTAGATCAACAGTATTTCGCCTTCCTCCGATTTTGACAGTAATGGAGGACTTGAGAAATACCTTTTCAAATCCCTCAAAGTTGCTGACACTCCGGAGTCCATTCAAAATTGTTCTTCTTTTTGAGTAGTGAAAAGAAATGATGGCATTTCTCCGAAGACCGGGAAATGAACCTGCTCAAAGCGGCCAGTCTCCCTGTCAACCTTTGAACCTCTTTCACGCTCGACAGCTGATCCGAGATGTCTTCGATGGCTTTAATTTTATCGGGGTTAAACCAGTTAGGATACTTTACCTCTCAGATTGAACCGATATCAAGCAAACGAGTTACCTCTTCTCTGACAAATTTGTTTCTGACCTCGGCAATAGGGCATATTTTCTATCTTACCTGAGGGATGTTGCGATCCAGGCTTAGTTTGTGCACGGCCACTTAAGGTGGGATACCTGTCATATCCGCATGCGACCATGCAAAACAGTCAACATTATATTTAAGAAATTCGATAAATCCAGACCTGAGCTCGGGGCTCAGTCCTGTCCCCAAATGGAACTTCCTCTCCAAGAACTTCTCGAACAATGCGACTTGTTCAAGTTCCTACGCCATAGATTTTGTTGCGTTTGTTTCTTCCGGTACCTGGAAGTATCTTGGCACCTGATAAGATTCTGACGACTCCTCCCCCTGGTTGAGTTCACTCGGTTCGGGAGCAGGCGCCGGCTCCTATAATTGCTATGATGCATGTTCCTTCCCTTTGCTACTGGAAACTAAGATTGTATTCATCTCTCTTGCCATCGGTTGGTCTCCTCTTATTTATTTAATTCCTTCGGGAGTTGGGAATTTCAACAATTGATGATATGTTGACGGTACGACCTTCATCTCGTGCAACCATGGTCTCCCCCGGATAATATTGTATCCCATATCGCCGTCCACTACCTCGAAAGGGTCATCTTCATCACCCCCTCGGCATTCGTGGGTAGAAGGATCTCTCCTCGGGTTGTCACGCTTACCAGATTGAACTCGGCGAGGAGTTTGGTGGCCGGAATGATACTTTCGGTGAGCTTGTCTTGCTCCAGCACTCTCCACTGGATAATATTGGTCGAACTTCCTAGGTCCACCAAAACACTTTAATTTTAAAATCTATGACATTTAGAGAGATCACCAGGGCATCAGTATGCGGTAGCAGCAGTCTATCTACGTCTTCCTCCGTGAATGTGATGTCGTCCTCAGCGACTTCCCGAAGTCTCTTACTGTAGGTCACCGACACCTTTGTCTTTTTTGCCGCCGAAAATGTCACACCATTAATCTCGACCCCCCCCCCCCCGAAAATCATGTTGATCGTCAAACGTGGAGGATCCCCTGCTGCTTTCAAAGGCTCCGCGTTATCGTGATTGCGGCTGTAATTGTTTTTAGCTCGATCACTCAAGAATTCCCTGAGATGGCCATTTTTCTGCAATGTCACCACCTTTTCGCACAGGTGACGGCAGTCCCCAGTCTGGTGACCGTTTGTCCCATGGTATTCGCACCACAAATTAGAATCCCTTTGGCTGGGATCAGATCTTATTAGCTTCGAGAACCGTGCTTCTTTAATGTTCCTCATAGCCGACACCAGCTCCATTACGCTGACGTTGAAGTTAAAGCCTGGGGTAGGAAGAATTCTCGAGAACCCGATGTCTCCTTGTCCTGCAATGACCTGTTATTCCGGCCGCGATCAGCTCTGCTATCGGTAGCGAGCAGATTGCTCTGCTTCGCACATGTGCAATCACCCTTCTCGAGGTTCACAAGGTAAATAGTACTCCCTCTGTTTCAAGTTAGATGACACACTTTCCTTATTTGTTTATTCCAAAAAGAATTACTCATTTGTACAATTGAAAATAATTCAACTTTAAACTCTTTATTTTTACTCTTACAAATAAATGTCATGGCTCCACAAGCTTTTACTCTTAAGGTTTTAAGACCGCAAGTTTTATTTTTTTTCTTATATTTTGTGCCGAATCAAATTACAACATCTAAATTAAAACGGAGAGAGTATTAATCTAGATTTATTTGCTTGGTCATATTTCAGATTGATTGTCATTTGATGGACTGTCATTTTTCTCTTATTGATAGATAAATTCCTGTTTTATAAAAATACATGACAGGGAAAAAATGATATTTAATAAGAGAACGAGTTAAATATAGTATTGACTTTAAAGAAGGGGCAGGAGCATGTGAACAAATTGAGATTAGTTTGGAAAGTTCGTCCCTGGGCAGTACCCATATCCCTTATCGGCCCCCACTTTCCCACCACTTCCCCCACCCCTCCATAAAAAGAGACGAATTAATAGTTCCAAGCAAAAGCATCTCTCCGGAGAGTTTTTAGCATTTTCCTCTCAAATCATTAGATTTTCTTGTCTTTGCTTGCCCCCTCCCTCGTTTTAACACCAAGGTAAGCCCTTTCTCCCTACTTTATTTCTTTTCTTCTCCATTCCAATTTAGTTGTGGGATTTTGATGAAATTTGGTTTCTTTGAGGATTTTATCATTTGTTGAATCTTTATCTGTTCATAACTTGTTCCTACTTTCCATTTCTTATCTCATTTGGGTATGAACTAACCATACCGCCCCACTTCCTAATATCTTCTACTGTACCTTATATTTTCTTATCTAATAAACCCATCTTCTGTTAAAATTAATTTCGTAGTTGTTTTTGGCAGGCGTGATATGAGGAAGGCGTGAATTTAGGCGGCGATGTTCGTACGACAGCTGTGGGATTAGATATTTCACGGTTGATTATCTTTCCGTGGACTGTGAACGCGTGGCATTCACGATAGGAGGTGCGTATTATTTGTTGTTTGTCGTGGGCTTTGTCAATTTTCAGCCCCATTCACGTCCTGTGGGCCCAGTTATTGACGAGATCCACAACAATATAATCCCTTAGACTTAGGCCTTGTCAATTTCTTTCCTCCGTGCCAATCATTCATCCTTGCATTTTGGTCCTTGAATTCAAAACTTTAGTTTCCCCTATTATCAGGAACACTAGTTAATTAGCCCGGTCAAATATTTCTTTTTATTATATGAATTCAATTGATAGTTGATATAGAAGAATAAGAAAATTTTATAGTACCATAAATAAGAAACAAATGTATTTATTCTCTTGGTCCATTTTTACTTGTCTACTATGCTAAAAAAGATATCTACTTTTACTTGTCCAGTTTAAAAAATCAAGAGACAATCTACTATTTTATATCTATACCATGGATCAAGGTGTGTCTAATCAAATATTAATTAGGGGTAATATAGTAAAATAGACGAACGAAGTATTATATAAAACATACATTCCAAAAAAAAAAAAAGTGAACACATGCATGCGTACACGTTTATTCCTCACTAAATAATCTATTGAAGAAGGAGGAAATTGTTATGTCTTTTTATGTTTTCTTTCAAATTAAATATTGTTCATACTCCCTCCGTTCACTCTTATTCCGTTCACTCCGTTCACGCAGACCTTACCCCTACCCTGGAGGCAGAGAGGTCGTTCCGAAAGACCCTCGACTCGAGAGGAATAATAGAAACAAGTAAATAACAACAACAAGGCCAGAAAAATGATATCAACAATTTAAGGACCGGGAAGCAGTGGCAATAGCAATAGCAAAAGTAATAGCCACAAGCAGTAACACGACAGTGTACTAGCAAACCGAATCGGAAGATAGTACTAAAACAACCCTAATACTGGCATTCTAAGAATCGAATATAATATACTAGTCAGCTAGCCCTAATAAACCTGGAACATATCAGAAAAACACACGACAACTTATTACGTCTTCGACCTCCATACCTTCCTGTTAAGGGTCATGTCCTCCATAAGCTGAAGTCGCGTCATGTCCTGCCTGATCACCTCTCCCCGATACTTCTTAGGCAGCCCTCTACCTCTTCTCCTACCTGCCAGCGCCAGCCGTCCACACCTTCTCACCGGAGCATATGGGCTTCTCCTCACATGCCCAAACCATCTAAGTCTCGCTTCACGCATATGATCTTTCATAGGGGCGATATAGATATATTTGACGATAGAATATAATATTGACCATAAAAATTTTTTTTTCTTTCTAAATGGTATACTAGCAAATATCGTAGTAGAGATGCATACTTGTAAAACATATTATTGAGCAACAAAGAAACAGGTTCCTGATGAGGTTGACTTTTGACATATATTGTGTTCATAATTATGCAGGGCATATTTTTTTTCTGCTTATCTGAGAAACAAGTTGGACAGAATGGCATCAACTTTTGTAAGATATATCTTTGAATGAGTATTATTTGCCTTTTCTGAGTTTCTTTTTACTATCTGATGAATATATTGACCCTAGCTAGTGTACTTTCTAGATGGGGCTGTATGTTTTTTTCTTTAAGAGTTTGCTGTTGGATGTCCTATTTTCTTTTCAGGTAAAGTCCAATAAGATGAGGAGGATGGAGTCGAAGAAATCGCGCTCTTGGTGGTGGGACAGTCACATTAGTCCCAAAAACTCCAAGTGGGTGCAAGATAATGTTGAACGTAAGCATATTCACTTTAACCTTATTCTATAATCTTTTCATTGTAACTCTTGCATTATGAGCTGGTCGGATTTAGATGGTGAGTCAAATAACAGCATAGGTCATGATCCAACACGTTTAAATTTTGGTCCGATTGTTATAACTGGGGCTAAATGTGTTTTGAATAGCGAGTAAAACGCCTCAATTCTATATTTTACATTTTAATATTTTTTTTATATTATTAAAGTAAAATGGTCAGAAAACAAAAAGTAAAAAAGTCGGTGGCCATTACTTGTTTGTGATAGTAACTTTAGACAGTTTCATCCATTCATCTCAAAGGAGGTTACTAGCAGTCCGCCTGGGAGAAATGCACTGTAAAAACTCCTAATTTGACAATTATAATTACCAAGTCGTTGCTTAGAATTTTTTATGTTGAATGGAGAAAATGGCATACAAGAAAATGACAAATAGGTCTATTATTTCAGAGATGGACCAGAATGTCAAAAGGATGTTGAAACTCATTGAAGAGGATGCAGATTCATTTGCTAAAAGGGCGGAAATGTATTATCAGAAAAGGCCAGAATTGGTCACACTAGTTGAGGAATTCTACCGCATGTACCGGTCATTAGCCGAGCGATATGATCATGTGACTGGAGAGCTCCGGAAAAATGTTCCTTCAGATCTTCAATCACAGGGGTCAGGCATCTCTGACGTGGGTTCTGAACCACCCTCCAGGTTGCCCTCTCCAGATCGGAGGCCTAGCCGCCCTAAACCTGGTCCTCGTGCTGCTGGATTTGAATTCTTTCTTGGCACAGGTGGAAGCAGCTCGGATCTGGGTAAGGAAGGAGATGAATCGTCAACATTAGATTCTGAATCAGAATCAGATGATTCGTCTATCAATAATTACTCAAGTACGCTGAGCACTGATGATGACCAAGGGTTGCGTAGGAAGATTAGTGAATTGGAGGTTGAGCTCCGCGACGTGAAAGAGAAGCTTCGCGCAAATCAGGAAGATATCTCTGAAAGCTCATTTAGGGGATCACATGTTGGCGGCAATGAGAATGCTCTCGCTAGAATAGCTGGATATGATGAAGAACTTAGAAATGCAAAAGAAAAGATTCGGTTATCAGAAGAAGAGATTAGCAGGTTGAGAATTGAGCTTCAGAGGTATGAATCAGGGGACTATGCAAGGAACATCCATGAGCTTAATGCAGGACAGGAAGCTAAAATTTCAGACGAGGAGAATGCGATAGAGGAAGAACCACAAGTTTTGGACCCAGAATCTAAGATCCGTACACTTGAGGAAGAATTGAGGAGCACGATAGAGAAGCTTCATGATTCAGAGAAGGAGGTGGAGCGCTTAAGAGAGGAACTTAAAAGCAACGGATCCTCCAATAAATTACTTCAGGATCAGCTTGGATCAGCACAGAAAGATGTTTCTGGCTGGAAAGCCAAACTTGAGAGAGAGAAAAGAGAAGTCTCAAAGCTGCAGGACCGAATTGCGAGGTACAAATCCAATTTGTCAGACCGTGATCAAGAAATCAGAGGACTGAAAGAATCAATATCAAATGCCAACAAGGCTTTAGCAGAAGAAAACATGCAGCTTCAAGGGGAGATTACCAAATTATTAAAGGAACGAGCATATTTGGAGGATAATATCAAAGAAATGGATCTACGCTGCCAATCATTAGAGGAGGATGTTAGAAGAACTGCAGCGGGGAAAGAAGAAATGGAGATGCTGCTTAAATCTGAAATCGAGCAGTTAAAGTTTACCATTGCTGAGAGGGAAAGCCATATTGAAGAACTGAACAGAAGCCTTGACACATTATCCCAGAAGTATGACGTACTGGTAACAGAGAAAGATGCCCTAAATGCCAGAGTTGCCTGCCTTGATGAAGAGCTAAGTTCTAAAGATGATCAGATTGATCAAATGAACAACCATTTGCACCAACTGCACATCGAGCATGTCGCGTTGATTTCCGAAACTGAAGGGGCCCGTAAAACGGTAGAGGAGTTGAGGTCTAGGGTTAAAGAATTGGAAAGAGAAGTAGAGAGACAAAAAGAAATAGTTTCGGAAGGAGCAGAAGAGAAACGGGAAGCAATTAGGCAGCTTTGCTTCTCACTCGAGCATTATAGAAATGGTTACCAAAGGCTTCGGCAGGCTTTGGAACATAAGAGACTACCTGTAATGGCATCCTAAGTCCATTAATGATGATGGGCAAACGTTATGATCGGGTTGTTTTTCATCCCTTTTTTGTCCAAAACACCCTTTCACTGTCACCCTTTTTTGCTTTTGGTTTAGGGATCAGTTCTCCTTTGTTCAATGGTGAGCTTGGCAGCTCCTTTTGTAGTCATTTGCCTTTCAGTGCTGTGGCTCTGTAATTGCAGGAACATGAATTGTGGTTTGTTATACACAGCTACTCTCCCATACATTTTCATGGTTCGTACAAAATCTGTTGTACTCTTCTCATTCAACTTTTATATACTCGGGTCATGGTAAATTTTTACGGTACGAGTGATAAATGGTCCTCCTTTGGATAAATCTCTGTGCTTAGATGACAAGAAAAGCTCCGTAAGCTCAAGCCAATTGGCAACAGATTTTAGAAAAAAATTACGCGCCATGCAGGAGTCAAACTTACGACTTTCTTCTTAGGAAACTGACTGTTATTTTGTTTTACATCATCATCATTATGCAATCACAAACTCTTTCACAGGAAATAAGCTTGAGCTTGATGCAAATTGCTAACAGTTAAATACAACTTTATTTTTCTTTTCTTTTCAGAAGTCGATATTATCCAACTTATTCAAAGTTAATGAAATTTCCTCTTAATGACACAAAAGCCGTGCAGCATCGATTTGCTCGGGTGCTAGCCTAGAATTTACAGCAACATATATTGAAATCACAATTTCTTTGGAAATTGCCAGCTATCATCGTCACATTTGTTACGCTAAAATAAATCCATAAGCATATTCATGCGTAATGTTTAACTCTTTTTTCCTTTTTCTAATTTACATTTTTTTTGGTTGATAAATTTTCTAATTTCGTATTCTTCAGGGCCATGCAGGCGTAGTGCAGAAAGAAATTTGAGTAAATGCTCAAGAATATCCCAACAGAAGTGTCGTCACAATAGCCTTCCACAGACTTTCTAATTGTTTATAGCCCAAAGAATCTCACTCCTATGGATCATCACCTACACCTGCGCTGAGAGGTTGAACGTAGTACGTGCACCAAAGAATATAAACAGCTGTAAGACCAAATCAACAACAAAATTTTAGACAATGGAATTAAGACTTCATAAGTCATTTTTTTGCACGTAAATGAAACTCTATTTCCCGCCTTTTCAATACCTGTCAAACTGTGCTCAATGTTCCTTCATAGACAAGAACCGCGTGTAAAAACACCAATACAACATACAAAAAGGGGTGTCGAGGCTAGCAGCTACTTATATATATTTTCTGGTTTCTATTTTTTCCATGTTAGATGTTTTTTGCACTACAGATGTACACACCCAAACATTGTAGCAGCACACATTGTAGCAGCATGGGCTTGCCACTGCTTCAATCCATCAGTATAGAGGTACATAAGATGTTGACAGCAAACATCAGTCATCCCAAGCATCATCTGCAGCTCCCTCCTTTTTGCTCATCGCTGGGGTAATCATGTGCCTGTATTTATCCTCCACATTTACCGCAGACTCGACTAAAGAGAGTTTAGACAATGTACTCCTTGCTTCTTTTTCGGCAGCTGCAGCCTCTCTCTCCTTTCTTCTAGCAGTCTAATAATGTGACAAACAAATAAGAAAAGAGGAACTCAAAATGGTAGATAAAATAAATGAAAGCTAAGAAACGCTCATCACGACAAGAAAAAGGAAACCACGCAGTACTCTGTGATGGAGAGCGTGAGGGAAGAGGAATTAGATACGGAGACGAACAGAAGAATGATATAAGAAGCAAAGAGGCATACCTTTCCCATAGCAAAGGTCACATCATTACCAGAACCGATATCAGCAATTGCTCTTCGTATTTGTGCCACAAGATACTACGAAATTAAACCAAGTAAGACAGCAGGAGTCAAAACATGAACATCATTATTAGAACAAGCCAAGAGACAAAGTGGGTATAGAGAAAGGAAACACCATATCACGATCAGTGTAAAATGAAGTAGCTCGGCCCGTTGATCCTGCACGACCAGTCCTTCCAATCCGGTGTACATAATCTTCCATGGTCTAAATTAACATAGGAACAGATATATCAACGTTTTACAAGTTCCATGCACTGATAACTGGTTAAAAGTCTAATAATTAGGAGGATTCAGAAAACCATCAGCATGAGGTCTTGTCTACTCATACTAAAGGTAACAAATTGAACTTTTAGACCTATATAAAGTAGATAACTGAAGAGTTTCCAAGGGGAGAACTTAAGACGACTAACAAAAGTAAGAGTTAGTAGAATAACATTGTGAAGAGAACTAAAGAATCAGACTTGGAACTGCTCTTCTATGCAAGTGAAGCTTCTAAATCTATGTTATTATTAATAAGATTGGATTAACTATCCAAAAGTTGCACCTTCAATTTTAGCAAGTTTTTATAGTGTGTTTCCATGATAAGTACTTCTAAATGTAACTTGAAAGAGAACTTTTCTTTCTTGCAGTCCGATGTACCTTTGGGAGATCTAGGTTAATTACATGTGCAACTCCTGTGACATCCAATCCCCTAGACGCAACATCAGTCGCGACCTGCCAATGCATCGTAGAAGTTAATTGCACAGATACAAGAAAGTTCTAAAAGCACCAAAAATAATGTCAAGAAGAACCAAATTTATTTCATTCGAATTCAATCAAGAAGAACCAAATTGAAAGGGATTTAGCGCACCAATCAAATATAAAAAATTTTATTGTATGAGACTATATGGATACAAGTGGTACTGAGGGTACAAAAAATTTCCTTTTTCTTTACAGTCGTATCTATATTGATAAAGTGCTCTTAGTTCACGTCAGCAGAACGCGAGTCTTCAAAACCCAATGTTGTAGGTCCAAGATGAACCAAATTTACATCGCAGAGAAAACTGTCGGCTCTTGTACGTGACCCTCCTCATAGGATAGTTTTGGACAGACACATCTACGAGTTGGATAAAAATGATTCTATTCACAGTAATCTAATTTGTAAAGGAGCACAAAGTTTCTCATGCCAGATAAAGATGAGCATTCAGAATTTCATCTGGTGTAAAGAAATTCAGTGTAAAGCGTCACCACTTTATGCTGGTCCTGTAATTCATCAAATAACAAAGGTCTGCTTTCCACTTACCTTCTTAGAGAAGAGGGACTTTAAGGCGGTGTTTGTGCAGCTTTTTCGGAAATCATTTTGAAGTAGTTGACTGAAAATTAAGATAGTATTTGCAGTTAAAAAATTTCTGTTCTGTTCCAAAAGTCTCTGGAACTCAAAGCTGTTTGTACGGCTCAGAAAATTGGTTTTATTTAAGAAATCTTATTGGAAAACAGACCAAACAAACACATAGAGAGTTGGCATATTTTTCCAGAAAAAGTTCCTGGTCCAAACACCCACAAAAGATTTCTTCTTACCACAATTAAAAAGTTAACAAACAAATAACAACCTTGATCATCTTTTTGCATCAAAAAGGGGTGAAGCTTGAACATTTGTATTCAGTCCTGTTCTGGAAAAAAAAACTGACTGATAGAAAAGGGAAAAAAATAAAAGAATAAAGGACAGGAGGCAATTCGATTTCAAGAAACCATACTTTGTCCTCTAAGGAAAATAAAATAGTTTCACACCCTTAAGCACTACCAACTGATGTTGCTTGGCAATATATACTCTTATTGCCTGACATAAGTCAGGGACAAAGAAATTCACAAGTAATCTGTATTCAACAAGTGAAAAATACATGAAATATTACAAAATTAGATGCTTTAATCATACCAAGATATTGATAGGACCGTGTCTGAAATCACGAAGGGCGGCCTCTCTTTCACTTTGGCTACGACCACCATGAAGTGCAGTTGCAAGCAAACCCTGCTGCGTTAAAGCTTCTGCTACTTCATCACACTTCGTCTGCAGGATGATGGTGCATAATGCGTAGTTAAAAGCATGCATTTATAGATTAAAAAAGCACTGAAGTTCTTTGGGGAAGTAAATCAAAATTTTTAAGACAGCCGTGCAAGAATTAAAATCACTTATCAGTCAGGCCATATGGATTGCGACCCGACCGGTCGTTTAGCCTTTTTGAACCCCGTCCCCCTATATAAAGCCTCCCGTACTTGCTTTAACTAGTTTACCACTTGCGGGGGCGATTGGTTCGGGGATTGGTAGAGTTTTGAGTAAAAATATGCCCATTTGCTTCTTTAGGATTTCTTAAAAAGACCAAGTTTGACTTCGGTCAACATTTTGGGAAAACGGGCCCGGATCCGTGATTTTCTGAGGGTCCGCGGGAAAATATGGGACCTGGGCGTGTGTCCGGAATCGAATTCCGAGGTCCCTAGCCCGAGTAATGAATTTTTATCTAAAATTGTTTAATGGAAGCTTTAAAGAATTCAAGAAACTAAGAAATCATTGATTCCCTAGGTATCGGGCTCGGATCTTGGTTCCGAAGCTTGGTACAGGTCCGTAATGTCATTTAAGACTTGCCCGTAAAATTTGGTATCAATCCGAGTAGTTTAAGGGCGTTTTGACCCGTTAGAGGAGAATTAAGAACTTAAGGATTCAATAGTTTGATTCATTTGGTTTTAGGGGGTGATTATAAGATTTAGCGTTGTTTTGGGAGTTCCGAGGGTTCGAGTAGGTCCGCCTCGTGATTTCAGACTTGTCGGTATGTTCGGGCGGGGCTCGGGAGCCCGGAGCGTCAAATGACCGAGGCTCGAGTGAAGTTAGAAAGTTGAGAAAAGGCTGAAGGCTGCTGCTTCTGTCATAACCGCATCTGCGGTTCAAGGACCGCAGATGCGGTCAAATGATCGCAGAAGCGGCCCAAGGCAGGCCCAAGGGAAGCCGCAGATGCGGCCTTATTTCCGCAGAAGCGGTTCCGCATAAGCGCTTCTCAGACCGCAGATGCGGTCCAGCCTCCCTTAGCCCAGAGCCGCAGATGCGGCCTTATTCCGCAGTTGCGGGACCGCAGACTGCGGTCGCCCAAACTGCAGAAGCGGCCTTAAGCTGGGCAGTGAACTCTTTTAATTCGAACTTAAGTGCATTTATTTCACATTCTTCTCCACACTTGGGCGAAATTGGGGCTTCCAAAGAGAGGGTTTCCACATATCATCACAAGGTAAGTAATTTCCACTCTCCCTTAGCTTAAATACATGAACATTAGATAGATTAAACACTAGAAATTAAGTAAAAATCAAGGGTTAGAGTTAGACCTAGGGTTTTGATAAAACCAAGAGTTAATCATGTAATTTACTATGTAATGAACTAGAAATCATATGTTATCGATCCTTAGGGCATAGAGAACAATTTCCTTCGAAAAATCTCGGAATTCGGGCGCGTGGGCCCGGGGTTGGAATTTAGGAAACTTGTGGGAAAGGTTGGGAAATTACTTAAATGGTTAGAATTTGGCCTTTTGAGCCTTTATTGACTAGTTCTTACCTATTTTAACTAGTTTGCGATCGTTCAGCTTCGAATTAAGAGCTTGGGCTTGTTCTTGATATTCGGGAGCGCGCTTTGGAGCGAGGTGAGTCTCCTTTCTAATTTTGTGAGGGGGAACTGTCCCCATAGGATTAATAATTGAATAATTGTGCTAAATGCGGGGGCTACGTACGCGCTAGGTGACGAGTGTCCGTGCGTAGCTACTATTATGTCAATGGTCCGAGTAGCTTAGGACCCACATCATGCTTATTTTATATGACTCTATTTAATATCTTGTTACATGAGCACCTAGGATATGCTAGGGATTTTAAAAAGGGAATAAGAACGTACTTGTATAAATGTTGAAGTCTTGCTTGGCAATTATGACTATTGATGTGCCTTATGTGTATACTTGATATTCCTACATATTTGTGGATCGGGCCGATCGCCTCGGTATGAATAAATGCATCTATAGGCGCGCCGTCGACCCTCGGCAAGTGCACAGTTTATTTCTGTAGGATCGGGTCGTTGCCTCGGCATATTTGCGCATGCTTTTATAGCTTTGCCTGAGTTTGTTAACTATTAGAATTACACTTTCATGACTCGAAAGGAACTGATAATTGTGAATAAAGTAAGTGATTAATTGGAATCTCAGCGAGAATATGATTTATATGCCTAGTTGTAAACTGTTGCCTGTTATAGATTTCTTTTATTGTTAACTTAAACTTATGATATCATTTGGCCCTAGTGAGTGTCAAGTCGACTTTTCGTCTCTACTCCTTCGAGGTAGGCGGGATACTCACTGGGTACATATTGTTTATATACTCATGCTACACTTCTGTACTTAAATGTACAGGGTCTGAGGCAGGTGGATCCGGTTATTTCTCTGGTGCGGAGCTGTGAGCAGGCTTGGGACTTCTACGGTGAGCTGCTTTTCCTTCCATGTCGATCCGGAGCCGAAGAAGTCTCTCTTTGTACTGTTATTTCTGTCTATTCTGATCCAGACAGTAGGGTAGTGTAGTATTCTTTTTGTTGTATATTCTACTAGCTGCCCGTAGCTTGTGACACCAGGTTCTGGCACGCACACGTTAGTAGACATTTATTTTTGGGTTGTATAACTATTTTGATACCTTATTTACCACTCTTGGCCTTAACTTAACTTTGAAAATCGGTTATAATTAGTTTTTGGTAAAAGTAAAATGAGGACTTAAATTACACCTCCACATTGGCTGGCCTGACAATGGTGTCGGGCGCCATCATGACCTATTATGAAAAATGGGTCGTGACACAAATGAATGAATTACTGTTGTTGAGAGTCCTATTGGCTATTGAGCTTTTAGATGGTGAAAAGTAGCCTTAGAAAACATACAGAGGAATCAATTCACAAAATAATACCAGAACAGAGGAGGAAACAATTCAATCAATCGACTATCAATCTAACAGCAGCCAGATATCACAAATTACTTAGCAAAAACATAAAAAGCTATACTTTCACAAATTATTACTAAGTTGTTTTTCAACAGCCCTTCTTATCGCTCTTCTTCGTCGAACATGTTCCACGATACCAGAGAAAATTGTTCTAGTGGTTTCTAACAGTGTGCAGCAGGTTCAAACTACTGAAAGTGTTCATCGAGCTATTGAGATTTCTGGAAGGGAAATTTTGCCATTTGTGGGCAGGTCCAACAAGATCAAGGTCACACAAGGAATGAAATAGTCATAGCTACTGGCAATTGCAGCAAAATGATGTTAATACAAGGAAGGAGATGGCCCTTACAGGTGTAGTTAATAATCAGCAAATCCAAACCTCTAACAAGTTTGCAATGTTAGAGGTTCAGGATGATGATGAGGAGAACAATAACCAATTGGTTATGGTAGAAGGAAGTGTTGAACCTAGTAGTCCTACTACTAATCTCAATGCAGGTGGGAGATTAAATCCTAAGGCAGCTGTTTTTACCAAAATCCATCAACCCCAAATTTGGGTTGTTGGGGTCAAAACAATCAGGCTAATTGTTGCTTCCTTGACGAACTCACCAATATCATATTCCCACCTTTTTTAAACAGAAAGCAAAAGTTTGAATAGGCAGAGAAAAAGAATGAATGGAAGACCAATACCCTGCATTTTTTTGAAAAACAAGGGAATGGGTATTCAACTAAGCTTTCAGTTGCTGGTAGCAATTATCGTTGCAGTTCTAGTCATTACGGATTTGTCCCTGTCCAGAGGGATTACTGAAGCTCCAAAATTAGATGAGAAGCAGCCTCAGAAAAGGTCATTATCGTCTTGTGCTTTACACTTATAATACTCTGTCACAGATGTTTGTTTTCTTTCGTTAAACACTCTGCTTATTGCTATATTTAAGGTTGTCGTTTCAGAATTGGGATGAATCACTGTCTTCAAACACTATCAAAGTGATTAAACGAGAGTTTGTTGGAAAAGACAACTCCAATTTAAACAATCAAGCATCATCAATCAATTGTAAATAAATCTATATAAACAATCGAGCAAAAGGATCCACTGTAAAACAATCCATATAATCAATCGAGCAGCATAAACCATCAATCCATTGTAAATCAGTCCAAATACACTATCAAGCAGCATCAATCAACTGTAGATCGTTCAATCCATATAAAAATCGAGCAGCATCAATCAACAATGTATTGCAAAATGATTGCAAGCAACCAATTTAACAGGGGAAGAAGAGAATGCCACAGGATCGAGAGAACTTACTTGGAAAAGAATCGACGACGAGGTACTGGAAATTGACGCAGCAGCAATCTAGGTTTTCCTATCGTTCAATCCATATAAAAATCGAGCAGCATCAATCAACAATGTATTGCAAAACGATTGCAAGCAACCAATTTAATAGGGGAAGAAGAGAAATTACCTGGAAAAGAATCGACGACGAGGTACTGGAAATTGATGCAGCAGCAATCTAGGTTTTCCTATCGTTCAATCCATATAAAAATCGAGCAGCATCAATCAACAATGTATTGCAAAACGATTGCAAGCAACCAATTTAACAGGGGAAGAAGAGAAATTTCCTGGAAAAAAATCGACGATGAGGTACTGGAAATTGACGCACCAGCAATTTAGGTTTTCATATTCAATTGACCGTATCCGTTTCTATTAAAGGGAAATATGTATTCCTAGTTCCTACAAGTTTCTAATCAGAGGGAACGATAATTTTCGTCCAAAAAATTTGGAGGGAACGATGTTTTTCTTTTTGTGGGGGAGGGAAACGTTAAAATAATAAAAAAATTAAATTAAATTGGTAATTTTTAGTGGCAATTGTATTTTTATTGGCGGTAAAAGGATATCTTTTACTGGCTAATGCTCATGTGCCGCTAACTTTTCAGCTTAAAGAATTTATTAGCAACAATTGTCTTATTGCCACTAAATAATTGCCGGCAAAGGTCTTTTTTGTAGTAGTGAGATGATCTACATATTCACCGGTACACTAGGTTGGTGCTGCTCCTTCTTTTTGGGGGTGTCTTGTTCCCAAACACTTCGAGAAATCTAGTGAGTTTGCGATTTCTACATC